CGTCTTGCTCGATAACAGTAGGAAAGACGCACGCACATACCTCTTCAGTTCTACCTTCCTGCCCGCATATTTGCATGACTCTTCATTCACTAAAGCTGAAGAGATCCAACTCTCTGACACAGAGAGAGCCATGGAAAGAGAATGTTGAGAATCCCACGTCCTGACCATGACCCTGATCTGATTATCAGACAGCGAGCGAGAGTAAAAAAGTCGTCGTCGAAAGGAGAAGAATGTGTCTGCTGTAGGTGGGGTGTGTAGCTCGGTTCACTGACGGAAGATGTTCGGTGATAATCGTGGACCGGTCCACTCCCGGTGGGACTACGCCCATGGTTCGTGACGGCGCGAAGATTTTATCAGGAACCGGGAAGGCTGCACTGAGAATAAGAAGGCTCGGAACCACGAGGAATGGCAGACATGTTGAGGCCAGTGCCGGAATAAGCGATCCAGGTGATGATAAGTTCAGAAGTTTGTACAGACTCAGTTTTATAGTACTTTATTTGCCTTTAGCCATCTTTACATCGAAATCATTCAGCATGTGCATGCTTGACGGCACAAAATGTAGATTGAAAAATGATCTCTCTGCTGTTTCCAGTGTTCCCATGCTAATCACTTGTCAAATAGCATATGTTTATAGATGGTACTACTCATGAATTGTTGATGATGATGATGAATGTTGCTTGGCCAGCTAAAAATACGGTTTTGCCTTCGAGGAATTGGATCTGAGATCAGGATGACAGGAGTAAGACGCCAAGGATTGGGGCTGCCTTTCCAAAGGTATATGACAGGCGGCCAATGAGTAGACCAAGGGTTAGGTCACTCGACAGTTTTTAACGTTTGACTTTGTTGTCGTTTGGGGTCCAGTGAACCGTGCCCGTTGAAGAAACATACTTTGCAAGCTACTTGCACCGTAACTCTTAAGAAGAACGTGTCATAAACAATGGGTGATGCCGAAGCACTGCAGAGTACAGGGTACCACTGAAGTATTTTTGATTTTTTTGCATCATTTCTACCTTGATTTGTACATCTTCTGATGATTATTATGTTTTGTTTTATTCATTTTTAGCCCTGCTAAAACCACAAGATTCAATCAATGTCAAGGCGTCCGATATGTGGAGTTTTGCCATTGTCTTATGGGAGTTGTGCAGCAGAGAAGTGCCTTTTGCCGAACTCTCACCCATGCAAATCGGAATGAGGGTAAATTACTGGAATGTGTTTGGAAATATGCGTTGACTTCTATGCAGCTGTTCTTTGTGTCAGGGCGCCAGTGATTTCTATGCATATGAAAGCGATAGAAACTGGAAGCTCACCGCCGACCAAAAATCCCAACCCCGTCTGAAACTGCATGAGATGTTGCATGAGACGGTGAATAAACTGGACGTGTCACTTATAAAGTTCATAAAAGCTATAAGTAGTAGTAT